TTTGTAATGTGATGAGTAAATAAACATGAAGGATTGTTTATTACGCCACCAGAATGTGCTAGATGAGCGTGCACAACGGCAAAAATCTTCTGTTAAATTCACTTATTTTTTATAGAGGCACAACAACCAATTACTCGTTGTCCCAGCTGTGATAAGTTCACTATTGCATCCGTATATCGTCGCAGTGTTCTTGTTTATCTAAAGTTAATGATAAATTAGTGATAATTATTACCATTAGAAAGAATTCAACCTTACATGGTATGCCAAATCTGGCGGATTTAAAGGCAACTTTGTGGACCTGTTCAACGGCTGTATTTAGAGTTACCAAGATATGAAGCATATGAAGAAAAAAACGTACCACATATGGAGATAGCTTTTAACATTAAAGAATTTTTCGACAATATTCAGCTCTTGGGTAAAACTTTGATAAGGATCTGGCCAGAGAACGCTTTTCGAGAGTATCTCAAGCCAACATGTATAGTTCTGGAAAGATCTTCTTTAAAGTCTTCATAAGAGATCAGAGCATAATAATGAGACTATGTGATCGTGCTGTGCGAGTGTCAGGTACATACTAAAACATTAGATCGGTCTTACGAAAAGAACCGCTTCCTTTAGCAGCTTCCTTTAGTAGGTGCATTTGATAATCTTGCATATTTTACTGATTTCAAAAGACATGAATATCGTTAGACAGAAAATGAAGCTTTCAAGAAGGTAAAAACACAGAGAACTTGTGTTGATGTGACTTCAGTTGTACATACCACGTTCTCTCCAACACGATCTTGCACAATAGCTTTCCACTCTTTGTTAAATTCAATTCCCTTTGGATAATGGCAATCCTTATATCCTCCAAGGACAGCCGTAGCCATGATCAGCTGAAATTTTTATGTTAGTAGCATAGTACAAATCAAAACTTACTTGATACTTAAGGATCGGAACTTAATTTGGTCAGAATAATCCCAAACCCTCTTATGCCGGTGAGTGACGAAAACTATGTTCATTATTCATCACAACAAATCATTACTTCTCCAAGTTTCTTCAAAA